ACATGATTTCTGTAGCATTTCTCCTCCCTATCAAGGTAATTAACATGCTTCCTTCAAACCAGTGTTTTTAGCGACGTTAGTATGTGAATTTACAATTTTATCCTTATTGTACGATAGCAGTATGTAGTACCCAGCTGTGGAGCTTGTTATCGTAAATGGGTACTAAATGCACTTCAAATTTTTTCAAGTACACATATAATTATCTGCAAACAACATTGTGGTCCATGGAAGGTATCTGGCATTTACAGCAAGCTCATGCAGATTGTGCAAAAACAAAACAAAAATTTTTAGGCCGAGAGAGATTGAACCACCCAAGTTACATGTACACACAATTCAGCAAAGATAGTATAACTATATAATCACAAAATACGCCTAAGAAAAATGGAGTGCAATTGTACAAGCCTAAATTATTACATAAAATATACTGAATTTGTATATGGGATGCAATCAATCCACCTATCATCTCGGAATATTAAACATCATAATTTCAATTAATCCTTAGTTGCTCATGGTTATAATAGAAACAAAACAAGTATGAAACAACATGCGCAGCAATAAATTAAATTACAACTTCATATAGTCAATATATATAATCATACACAAACATACATATATACTGTATAGTCAATAAATATTCACGGATTGTTGTTGAATTAGAAGATGTTGGTCGTGGAGTAGGCAAGCAGCTTGAGGATTACAAATCTGAACGGCGGTGGAAACTGGAGCTGTGGTGGTCGACTCTCGACTGTCGTGACATTGTCGTTGTTCCTGGTTCAATGAATAGATCCACCGCAGAGCAACAGCTATGGACTGTGGATTGTGGTATGTGGGTGGTTATTGTGGTGATGCTGCAGACTGTGGACTGTGGGTGACTGGGGGTTGCTATGAACTATAGTGCAGCAGATGTGGACTGTCGTCGTCAACTAGTCGCTGGTGAGTGGGTGTTTCGTGGTTGTTATGGTGAATGGTGATGATGGGTGAGTGGGTGTCGACGAAATGGATGCAAGAGTGGATGGGTGTGGCACTGTCAACTCACTGTGGGTGGCAGCTTGGCCCTACTGGGTGCTGGCGAAGTGCGAAGAAATGAAGAATCGAAGATGGAGTCTGCTCAGTTGGTGTGGAGTGTGCATTATGGAGATCAGAGCTTGGAGGGGGAGAAGAGAAATAGAGAAGTATAGATGAGTGTGGGTGTGGCCCTGTGGCCCTGTGGGACTGTCAACTCACTGTGGGTGGCGGCGTGGCACTGTTGGGTCTTGGTGAACGTGCGAAGAAATGAAGAATCGAAGATGGAGTGGACAGTGGAGTGACTAGAGTCTGCTCAGTTGGTGTGGAGTGTGCACTATGGAGATCGGAGCTTGGAGGCGGAGAAGAGAAATAGAGAAGTAGAGAAGTAGAGATGTGAGGTTAGGTCACTGAGATATTCAAAAAAAAATAAAGGCTAAAATGCAAAATAATTTTTGCTTATATACTTAGGGTATAACCAGTTTTAGAAACCGGTTCTGGTTAACCGATTTGGAAAATATCCCAAACCGAACTGGTTTTTCAGTTTTTTAAATTTTGCAAACCGAAAATCAAACCGGTTTGCAAAAAAAACCTAATTTTTGGTTCGATTTCCAGATTATTTCTCCCACCCCTAACAAAAACCTCTAACACAACAAACAGAAAACAGAATTAGCCTAGAAACAAGCACACAAGGAAACAAAACCCACCAGCTCCCACACAAACCCACTAGCCCCACCGAAACCCCTAGGCTCCTAAGAGGTTGACATCAACTGCACACAAAACCCTCCAACACCGCCAAAACCACCCCCTACTGTCCCTCTCCAACCACCTGCACACACAACATAGCAACAAGCAAACAAAGAAAAGCCATCTGGTGGTTGATAGTTGCATAAATTTAGTGTTTTTAGGTTTGTTTTATAACCTTCTAGTTAATTTCTCATTCGTTTCTGTGTTTTGATGTTAGTTTTTGTTAAGTTTGGAATATGAATGGTCAGCTATTGATTGAAGAATTTTCGTAATTTTCAGGCCTTAATTGAGAGATTGGCATTGGAATGATATTGGAATTCAAAGCGTGAAGAAATTGAGATTAGTTGACAAGTTTGAAGGCCATGGCCTTGCCTTGGTGGCTCACCATGGCCTGGTGGTGGAATGAAGATAAAATATCGAGGACAGGAAACACCATGGCCTAGGCTATGGTGACGTACATTTAGACACGGCCTAGGCCATGTCGGTACTTTTGGGTTTTTTTAGTTTTTCTTTCTTTTTTGTTTGGAACTATTTGGGTATTAAGGATGATTAAGATTACTCCTTAGGAGCCGAATTTACCCTTCTTGAGAAGATTATTGGTAACAAAAGAGAAAGGAGAATCAAGAACAAAATTCATCAAGAGTTTGTTTTTACTTTCAATATGATTATTTCTTGGATTCTTCTCTTGTTTCTTTATTATGAACTATTTTCTCAGGCTAAGACTAGGGTTAGTCTATTTATGGATCTGTGATCAATCTTTTACTCTTTGGTTAGTGAATTATTTTTCTAATGATGAGTTTATATTATGTGCTTAATGCTATTAGAACTTGATCATTTCTGATAGAATTGTTTTGTGGATTGAGACTGAGAGGAGATATCACATGAGTGCTCTAGTAATATAGGCCATGGATTAATTGGATATGGAGATATATGAATTGATACATGCAATAGTCATAGGCAGGATTAACTTGTGCTGAAAGCTAGAGGATTCATAAAGCTTAATGCTCGTCTATTTCATTAAATCATATAGAGATATCAGGTTATGAAATAGAAGTGAATTAATATTGCTTGAAACAATATTGGTTAACCTAGGAAATCCCGTTGTCACATTAATTATAAATTCATTGACCATAGTAATTGAGGGGTGCAGAGAAGTTATAGATGAGCCTGAAGTCTTAGCCGTTTTCTCTCATTGAATTCTTAATTTTAGTTTTACTACAATTCGTTTCTAACATTCCAGATTTTAATATTTTAGTTTTAAAGATCACCTTTCTAAGTTTTGATTATCTAGATAAAGTTAAGACTAATTTATATTTCAGTACTTGTTTACGCAATCCCTTGGGTACGATAACATGTATTTTTTATACTGTATTACTTGAGACTAGTACACTTGCTAGTAGTTGTTGCAAACAACACAACAGTGGTTGCTCAATGAAGGGCGGTCTCAAACTTTGCGGTGTGAAGAAGTGAAGATGAGGTGGTGGAGGTGGAGGTGAAATAAGCTTGAAGGGAAGGGAAATGTCTCTGTTTTAGGGATTTTGCAGCCGAGTGTCTTGTTTTAGATTTTAGGGCAAATCTGATCTTACACAAGCTGAAACGATCGATCAAGCTCACGAGCTTCGCCGACGCGAGTAGTTCGAATCGAGCCCAGAAAAGCTCGACACCTTTCGCGAGCTTGAAGGTGAGCACGAACTCGTGAACTACTCGTCTTTTGACGAGCCGAGCCTACAGTTCGTGACAAGTCGAGCCCGAGTAGCTCACGAGCTAGTCGATTCAACTGCACCCCTAATTCCACCTGCCCAAAATATTATTATTTTTCTACTGTATTGTAATTAGCATTTTAATTTAGGAGTCTACATATATATGCTAATTTGGAAAGAATAGAAGGCCAAATATTTGTTAATGGAAGACTGTAATGAAAATAATCAAGTTGAAATTATAAAAAAATAAAATAAAATAAAAAAGAAGTAAGATGTCATGAATTCAATACATGAAATATTTAATTTTGTATCGACATACTCTGATACTCTCTCACGCAAAATCTCTCTTCTTGGCTTCTGCTTTATCAAGTAAAATGAAATTAATAGTACCTTCTTGGCAACTGAACTGATTTGCCATGTTATTCAAGAAGTGAAAACTTTTATTAATTATCTCTAATATGAACTCTTTCGCTCTTATATATGTAATTTATAAAAGCAAAGTAGCAGCCAGGCTAGCTTAGGGTTGTATGTTGTCACATGGTCAGTAAAAAGTTTGCATGCAGCCGCCACTTATATTGAGTTATTTTTTTAATAAAAAAATTAGTCTCTCTACTTAAAATTGAATTGAAGAGTGATGCGGTGCAAAAACATTCGTAGATCTGAGAGTGTAATTAATTAATTAACCATCCATTCCATTTGAAGTTGAGATCATTAAGGAAACAGCTGGAGATCATATTATATTTGAATATAGTGTTAAACTTAAATCTGTCTTCTAAGACTATATAAGAATAACGTTGGAACTTGAAGTGCATAAATATAATACATGTCATACAAATTGTAAAGAGAGGTCGGTACAGACAAGTTGGCATGAACTGGTCCTCACGACGCACATTTTAGAAGTATTTGTCTTGGACCTTTTTGCTGCTCTTCTCTACTTTTCTTCAAAAGACACTATTATTTTCTGCCAGTGCTTATCTTTCCAACTAGAACTCTAGTTATATATGCTGTAACCCATCTAAATTTCCCTTTATCTATTGCTATTAAACTTTGCTAATGTTAACTTCTTAGTTCTACCGGCAATTTAACCACCAATTCTTTTCAAAAGTTAATCTTCGCTGCCAATATGCAGATAGCTTCGTAGTTTGTAGTAGAGTATGAGGTAATCATGTTGTAATATGGATTTTGAGCTCCCTCTAAATATGTATTACAGTTTACCTTAGATAAGATTGTAATATTCCTGCCTTTCATGCAGTAGGTCTCGGCTCACTTGTGCTAAGCCCATAAAAAATGCGCATTTAAGACTTTTAGGTTGGGCTTAAGAATTTTGGGATTAATTCAATCCACGCACGTCATAAATTCTAAAGACCCTAATCCAAACATTGTGGGCCTTAAGATAGTTACCCAGTTGGGCCTAACGAAACTCAGGCATAGTAATATTTCCGAGTTGGGCCAAATCCAATATAGTACTATAGCTGTTTTACTTGCGCGTGCGTGTGTGTATATATATATATATATATAGTAATTTACTAACACGAGAATGAAGAACAGGAATAAAATAAGAGCATTACTTGCTATTATAATTATTTTGATTACCTGACATTTACATGGTGTTTCTATGATCAATAAGGACCAAAGACATACTCAACAAGGGATTGAGAAAGCCAGAGATATAGAGTGGAAGCCAAAAATTCAACGGGGGGGTTATCCTGTCTCTAACTAAAATCAGTTGAAGTTGGTATTCACACCGTTTCACAAGTTAGCAGAGCAGTCATCTTTAATAGTCAGCATTCAGAAAATTCTCATACACCGTGCCATGGAGTGTTCTGTTGACTTCATCCCAGTTCTGTATATGTTCTGACAATGAGCCTTTGTGAATTTTAACCTGACGGCTTGTTAGTTCCATCTGCGGGAGCCTCAGAAACTCGAGAACATCTTTTACTTTCTGCAACAAACAATCAGAATTATGACCATTGCATAGAAACAAGAATATATAGAACCAATTAAATTAGTTGAGAGTGTAGTTGCAACATCAACATTCTCAGATTTATGTCAGTATAGATTGGCATGTTATTATGGAAGAAAATGGAATGGAATACTAGTTATGCATGGTATAAAGAATTTTCTTCCTTTCTTTTTTTCCAATTAGGAGATAAACAGGATTTCAAAAAATTGTGATAATCCTCACCGTGGGATTCTTAATGAGATCCTCATAATATAGAACAATATGGTGAGTACTATTGAAGTATTCTAAAGCCTGGGTTGCTGTCACCTCCACTTCCTTCAGATCTATCATCAATGATGTGGAATTGATGGTAGGCATATAGCTTGAAAGTGTCTCGGCCTATAAGAAGTTAATAGCAGAGAGTTCAAGATCATATATGTAGTACATATGTACACATAAAGGTAGACAAATAGAGAGAGAGAAACCTCTTGGGATGAATGCACATGAGACTTGTGGGTTCCATTCAATAGCTTAGCATAGCGGTCATAGGAATTTGCAAGTACAGAAACCATCCGACGCAACAGATTTCGTCGAAAGAGAAATATTGCAGACACACCTTTATGATTGAAGTATTCTACTATTTCTCTATGGTGCTCCATCAACCCCTGCGCAAGGTATGATAACAGAATTAAAACTCTTTCGGCTTAGTTTCCCATCAAACAAATATTTAAAAGCGAAGTCACAATTATTATGTCTTACAAAAATAACTACCAATATCTCAAAATAATGCAGAGTTTAAGTATTTAGAAACTAGATTCCTCTAAGCCGATTGCCTTGATTGAAAAGAGCATAATCCATATGTTCAAAAAAAATCACATGTTTAGAATATTTTTAAACCTGCTATTTGCAACTGTTGCATGGTAAAATCGAGCCAACAGAATACCCATATAATAGGCATATACCACAAAATTAAGTTATACCCCATTTATAAGGATGACTTAGTCCCTGCCATGAAACCACTGAAATAACCTATGAAACAGTTCTTAAGAGCACAAACGATTTTTTGCACTAAACGTAAACAGCCTGACATAGGTACTGAAACTGACTATATTGAAACAGAAAATCAGCATCCAGTGTTTTGTTCATAATGAATAATATCGTACTGAAAATAGTATGCGTCTTGTTTAAGAGCCAAATGGTCCATACAATGCATATTGACAAGTTGCTTTTCATGATAGGTGATAATCCCATTTCAGATTGCAATTGCACATCAGTTAGCATAAAAATTTCAATAAATCCAACAGAACCAAAAGACTTGGCAAATGTAGTTTCCCCAGAGCATTCCTTTTTTTTATTTTCTGCTAGAAGCTATCACCACTTTGATAGCTGCACTAGAGTTGCTTCACTATTTTGGCACTATGCACGTGACATCCATATTAAATGTTATAGTAAAGCCTTCAAAGAATATGGCTTGACTATATGCACTGTTCTCCGGTGTTTGAATCTCCTTATTTTATTTAGAACAAAAGAGCACTGGTACCAGAATTAAACATTAAATTTCCAAGTCACAGAGGTGCCTGACACCAATAATGCCATCAAACAATTAGAAATTCCTGGCAATAATGGCACCAAACAGTTAAAAACCCCTTGTCTGCATTACTGGGAAACACAAGACTCTTTGGCAGGTAGTTAAAATTTTATAATTTTTCCAAAAGTTTGGGTCACTATGTTGTCTTATAGTTCCGTATTTTCAAAAATCTTGAACAAGTACAAATAGAAATCAAGAGAATTTAGAGTTCAAATTTCAAAGCTGGCTGCCTAACCCATATTAAGAACACATCAAGTTAGCAAACTCCCAACCTTGAATCCTCAAGACATAGTTCTTCCTATAATATGTTCCCTTGTTATCTAAATGGGGATTCTCAGTTACAGTCTTTTCCAATTCTTCCTTTAAAGAACAGTTTATAAATTTTTCTTTTAAAATAACAACCAAAGCATCATAAGCACAACTCCAAGGGAGCGGGGGGTGTGCGTGTGTTGGTGCAGACTAGTATCTCAAAAACTTAATGATAAGCCCACCTGTGTAGAAAGAAATCACATGAAGAAATATACTTTGAATTAGGAACGGGATAGCTTAACTTCTGGTAAAGTTTGAAATCCATAATCATCAGACAATGGAACAGTCCTGATTCCAATGTGTAAATAGAAAATGTCACAACCATGAAAATTGTATTCCCGGTATGATAAAGCACATAATACTAAGTTGAATAGGAAGACTTAATGAAAAGCCTAGGAAAGTAGTAGACAATCTTCTTAAAAGCTTGCACTTAAAGAAAAACATCATTCACCAAATACAAAATAGTATTAAATCAAACATCAACAAAGCAAGGACCTTAAGAAATATATTTTTCTTTGGACCAATAATGAAGAATAATTTCAGACACTGTTTATAGGCAAACAGTTAGGTGAAATGATGTTTACTTGGGAGGTCTCACATTCAAATGGTAATGGGTAAACAATAGGCCTTTTACCAGCCACCAATATGTCATCTAATGAAAAGGTTATCACAAAGACAAATTAGAAGACAACATTATACCTGATTGAGCATCCACTTAAAGCCAACTGCTGCAGAACACTCATTCTTGGAAGCACTAGTTAACCAATCCAAGTTGTAAACTTTATCAAGAGTACTTATAATTGAAGAAATATTTCTCCTCCGATCCAATTTGGAGAAAATCTCCCCATTTGAGCTCACATTAATATGACTATTTAACAAGGTCTCAAACCATCCACTTCCTGATCTTTGCATTGATATTATGGCAAACAATCTTACAGGATTATGTTTGCATTCAGCTCTGCCCATACAACAAAACATCACATAATGAGAACAAGCTTGTGATGAAAACTTTTGGAAAATAAGAAATTCTTAGTTACCTGCTAAAAGTCTGGGGTTGTGGGTAATGCAATTGAGGAACTTCTAACTGTTTGGTGCCATTGTCGCCAGGAATCTCTGATTGTTTAATGTCATTATCAGTATAAGGTCTCCCTATGACTAGGATGTTTTGGTATTTAAATTTGGTGCCAGTGCTCATATGCTTTAACCGGATTGAGCAGATTAAAACGCCACAAACCATCGCAAATAGTAAAGCCATCATCCTTAAGAACAATGGAGATTTCTTCGCAGGCTTTATAATTAGAGCATCCTAAAGCAAAAAGAAAAATGATCAAATATTTAAGTTTGCAAATTAAATTCGTGGGCAAAAAAATTTACAGACATCTTACATTCTAATCTTATCTAAGCTAGGTAAAACATAGAACAAACACAAAACGATAATTATTAGAAAGACATGAAGAACAAAAGATTATGGGATGCACAAAAATAAAAAAAATAAAAATGTTACTGGAAAAGCAATAACAAGACACAATGTCTATAAAACTTGTGAACAGCCCAAATAAGTAAACAAAGCAAAACAAAATACCAAAAATAAATAAATAAATAAAATGCAATAAACTCTATAGAGAAACCCCAGATCGGAACATGCACAGAAAACAAAAATCTCATAACATCCCCCAACATAAAGAACAACCTATTAAAGGAAGAACCTTTTCAAAGAAAAATATGAACAAATAATAGAACTTTTAAGAAAGTATAAAATTTAGAGGGAAAAAAATAATATTGAAGCAAACAAATGAACCATAGTACCTTGTTGAGGAAATAAACGTATTCTGCCATTGCTATGTCCGGAATGTGAAGAGAAAAACCCAGTAAAGTTAAAAGCAGAAGCAGAAGAAGAAGAAGAAAATAAATCCCTCTTCTCCTCGTACAGTCAGCTGCACGAGAACAACGAACGGGAAGCAAAGCACAAGAAGAAGAAGACAAACAGATATGTCATAATGTTATGAGATTCGGAGAAATTTGGCGTCGTGGAAAACAAAGCCGCTTAACAAGAAAAAGAATATAAAAAAAAAAAAAAAGTCTTCTCTTCGTTTGTGTTTCCTGCGTATGAATTGCTGTAGTACTAGCTTGTCTAATTATTGAACAAAAACCTGTGTTTATGACTGGTAACAATTTCTGTTTGCCTTAAATCTGGGTAGTTCTTCTGCTCTAACCGCGGAATCACAATGTCTGAGTCCGGTAAATAAATTAAATGTAGGGAACATGAGTTTGACTTTTGTTTTGCTTAATTAATTTGTTTTTTATTTTTTTATTTGAGTAATTTTGAATCATCCATAAAATCTTTTTAAAAATTGGTAATTAATACTTCATGAATAAGATAAATAAAACAACTTTTTATCTAATTTCGTAGAGTAAATTTATTATAATCACATGATGGGAATTAATTTTGGTTTACCCTTTAATAATTATTTACAAATATGGAAAAATTGTATCCACTCTTCCAATTTAAACAATTAGCTTAAAATTTAGGCTTTTCTTATTGAGCATAAATGAAGATAATATATTCACCTGAGAATTAGTTGGTCTGTCTTGACTAATTATGAGAGGAACACCTTTGTTAAAGTTTGTAAACTTAGGGTAACATTTTATAGAATAAATTTACATATTGTAAACTTGGGACCAAGAGGCATTGATTTTGTTGAGAAAAATAAAAAAATAAAAAATAAAATGAGAAGATTGTTGCTTGCCTTCAAAATGACTCCATTGACATGGTCAATTAAATTAATTGGTCATTCTAATAAATAATAGATGGCTCTGATTTTATAATAATAATAATAAAGTCTAATTAATAAAAAGGATGGGATATATACTCTCAAAATACGCGAAGACATTAAAGTTTAGTCAGGTCTTAAATGCTGAAAAGTCAGATTAGATGTCCATATCTTTATCCCCGCAAGACTTGGCCTTAATTGCTATTACTAACAAATAAATAAATAAATAAGTTGAATGACTTTAGAAAATTTGATAAAATTAAATAATTAATTAACTTGGGCATCATTGACATCACTTGAATTGATATTTAATCTTAATTTAACCGCCTACTATCAAAATCATAATATGATAACAATAATAAAATTCTAGTTTAAGTATTATTGGGAAAATTTTGATCAGCTAAAAATTGGGAAAATTTTGGGCAGGAGTCTAGAATTTGGTAAAAAGAAACATTAGAAAATTATGAATTAAAATATTTTAAATTGAATATATGGATGGGACTTAATGTTGGAAAACTGTAATCTATATGGTTAATTATTTTTATGAGTACTTGTGTAAATAAATTGTATTATATTTTATTTGAAAATTGTAGGAAATTTAAAAAATAAATAAAACGTTTTTAAACAAAAATGATGACAACCGTAAAGACAGCTTTAGTGAAGAGATGAAACACTAGCCGTTATATATCATAATTGATAGTAACATGTATTGTAGATGATATTTGATTAAAAAGAAATGGGCAAAAACATTGTTTTCAATAAATAAATAAATAAAAATAATAATAATTAAAAAGATATGGGAAATGCCGAAATGCAATTGCCATCAATCATCATTGATAATGAATATTTCTGCCTTTTCACTATTACTTTACTTTACATAATATAAGAAACATTTTTAACACAAAAACATACTTAAAATTATTATTATTATTTACAGTCAAAAAATCAGTTGAAAATAGATAAATGTTTCTGAAAAAAATGTCAGCACAGTACCTGCAAAAACACGTGAATAATGAACATAACAATTTTAGTACACGCTGGAACTGGAACGAATACAAAGTCTAAGGAGTCTTCTGACAACCATTTCATACGTACGTTTCAACGTTTTCTTCAAGTTGAAGCTTGTCCAACTTTCAAGACATATTTTCTAGGTAAATAAAAATGAAATCATTAAACATGGCCAGCGTTTGTCTGGCAACGTGAACCCCACGCCATATATAATTGGTGTATACATATTTTTTAATGAGTCTAAATTAAAGCGAAATGTTGTATCACAACATATTAATTTATAAATATAAAAATTGTGTTTCTAGAAGTAGTTAGAATTAATATTGTGGAATGCAATAATTAGATACGTAGAGATGAAGTATTGTGGAGGGGGTGTGTGTGTTTAAACGGGGAAGTGGGATACTACAAAATGTGGGAAAATAATTGAGTTGTTGAAGGATGTACGTCAAATTTATGTATCAAATGATGTGATATTATCTTGATCGTCGATTAATTATGAATTAATTGTAACAGTATTCCAAAATGAGTATGGGAGAACATGATTGAAAATATACTTAAATTGGGGCCGATCAGTAAATGTATGGTTGTTGAGTGTTCACCTTGTTTATAAGGCCACTGTTTTTTAACCCTAGTTTATTTTTATCAGTAACTGCACTATAGAATTTAATAAAAAGTTTTTATAGTTTTCAATAAAGATTGGCCAACCCATCTCACCAAATTTCTTTCACAACACTGATATGACAATTCGTAATTAGGCAAACGAGACTCATTACGAGTTGATCAATTATGAGTTGTCATATCGAGGTTGTGAGTAAAAATTTGTAAGATTGAGTTGTAAGTGTAGTATTACTCGTTTTTAATAAAAATTGGATCACAATCTAATCTTACAAATTTTCTCTCATAATCTCGATGTGGTAACTCGCAATTAACTAGACGAGACCTATTATAAGCTGATCAATTACGAGCTATCATATCAGAGTTATGAGAGAAAGATTGTAAGTGTAGTATTCCCGATAGCTTTCATCTCATCCTTTGACTTTATCCCACTGATTCCATCCTTTCCCTCAAGCATTAACTTTTCTTCACCTCCCCCTGTGATTCAAATGATGTTTTCTAAATTTGTGCCAAATTATGACTATCCCCTTTTGCTCCTATTCCTCTGAAGCAATCACACTTCACTTATTTTGTTAGTAGAAAACTATAGTAAATAGTTCAAATTAACATTTCTGTAGCATTTCTCCTCCCTATCAAGATAATTAACATGCTTCCCTTCGAAACCAGTGTTTTTAGCAGACTTTAGTATGTGGAATTTACAATTTTATCCTTATTGTACGATAGCAGTACTGTAGTACCCAGCTGTGGAGCTTGTTATCGTAAATGGGATACTAAATGCACTTCAATTATTTCCCAAGTACACATATAATTATCTGCAAACACATTGTGGTCCATGGAAGTGTATCTTGACAAGTATATGGGATGTCCTCAGTTTACGTCAATTGAATTGAATGAACATATCCTATCAGATTGGATAGCTCAAGCAGCCACGTCGATATCGATTCAAACATCAACACTGCGATCGATCATGATCTTAGTCGTTTCAAATCTTATTCAAAATCGAATTCTGCATCTCCATAACTTTAGCCATAAATATTGCAATTTTAGACTAAAATTATTTTCTATATCCCTGCTGGGATTCAAACTCAAACGATTATCTTAAAAATTATCTACAATTTATGTTGAAGTGTTTTCTACAGGTTTGAACACTTCTACTCTCAGATCACCCACCTATTACAATTTGCCATTTTTTATTCACTATTTTAAATTGCGATCGAATTTGAGGTGGGTTTGACTCCTCACCCAATAAGGTCTTGTTGAATGGGAGGATTACTCCCTCTTATAACCCAATAGGCCTGAGAGCACCTAGTCGATGTGGGACTCCAACACTCTTTCTCACGGTCGAGCCGATATGTTGGGTCATGCCTGTTATTGGAGGTAGCTGCTAGCTCTAACTCCTCACCCACTGGTTAAGCGTTCAGCTCAATTGAACTTAGACTCTGATACCATGATAAAATTTGAGGTGGGCCTGACTCCTCAACCAATAAAGTATTGTTGAATGGGAGGATTACCCCATCTTATAACCCAGTAGGCTTGAGTGTGTCTAGTCAATGTAGGACTCCAACAAATTGGAAGAGATAAACCAAAATATCTTGACTTCACATAGCTTGCAAAATCAATTGGATGCGTTTGGTTTAATATTCCTATCCATATTCCCAATCTTATTCCCAAAATATTTGTTTGTTTAATTATTTAGGAAATATTAGTATATTTTTTAATTACTTTTAGACCCCTTAAGTTGATTAATTTCATTAAATACCCCAAAAAAAGTTTAAAAATTAACAAAAACACCCTCACCCACCTATAGTTGCTAGATTCCGAAAACCACCGTCAATAATAGCCAGAATCTGTCACAAGGGCCTAAAAACGATCGGAACTAGTCAGTAATTCACCGATTTGGCCTTTTGTGTGGATCTGGCTGAAAAAGGCCAGATCTGGTCGTCAGCGACGGCCAAAGAAATGGTCGTCGTTGGACTTTTGCGGCCGTAGATCTGCCATTTTTCGGCCAAATCCGTGGTAGATCTGGCCGGAAAAGGCCATATCGACGCCCTACTCGCCAAACCAACCGGTCTACATCGTAGCGCCATTTTCCAGCCAGATTCAGGTGGTGGTAGCCGGAATCTGGCACTGTGGGTGGGTGGGGGTGTTTTTGTCATTTTACAAAAAAATTATATATTGGGGTGTTTAGTTAAATTAGCAAACCTAAGGGGTTTTTTTGTTAATTTTTAAATTTTATCTCGTAATACTCACTTTATTCAACTACTCAATATTATTCCCAAAATCTTATCCAAAATAACAAAATAAACGGACCCTATTATTTGCCCATTTGTCTCTTAAAAATCCTTTCTTTCAAGAACAGCTTTGAATATGAGGTGATGAAGTAAAAGGGATTAGTAGAATTAGAACATTATTTGAACTTAAATTATTGATTAATTACTTAAAAGAAGAAGAAACCATCATTAGTTTTCTTGTCAATAAGAACAAAGAAAAAAGAGAACCACACGCATTCAGCCCAGGTATTATTACATTAAGCCAGGAGACAGGATAATAGGATATGGTTAACTCATTCAATAACATATCAGTTTTTTTAAATATTAAATATTTTGATCCACACTCCACATGCGCCTATCAGTCCAGAAAATTCCAAGCTTGTTTGTTGAATGTTTTTTATTTTGGATTAATATGTGTTTAACAAGAAATGAAATGCGTGGCTTTTAATTAACTTCTGAATTTTATTTTATTTTGATGGGTCAAGTAAGTTATCATCTATCATTCTCTAGTCTTCGGCTACGCGTTGAATAGGGAAAGCAAGAAGAAACTCAGCTTATTTATAGAATCATATATTATGTATATAGTTATTTATTTAAGAAACCAGAAGAAAGGACTGGGTAGTTTTAATACTTTGTGTTTGCTGTAATGACTGTTCTGTTCTACATTTGACTTTTTAGTTTAGAAATTTCCAGGGCAAAACATTTGGCTTTTTCATAATCAATAACTTCAAAGACGGGTATATTGAATTGCCTGAAATTTTCAAATGTTGATTTTCTCATCAAAGTTTCCGTGACAAGCTTAAAGTTTCCCATTTTAAAGAATTGAATTGGTTAATAATGTCTTGTTCGAGGGAGAAAGAACTACATATTTTAGTAGAATAAGTAAGAAAATTGAATAGAAAGCGTGGTGACGGGACAAAAGGTTTTACTATTTAACCTTTGCTTGAGACAGTTGGCTAAACTAATAATCAGGATTAATTAGCATAATTAATATATATATAACAAAACATAATTCATCTTTCAAGAGTTGATTAAGGTAATTATTAATATATATAAACATACTTATATATGTTACTGTGACTGCTATCATCACAGGCCTTGGCTCATGCATGCTAGGTAAAAGCTATATGTGTCAATTTTTTAATTAATAATTAAATAAAAATGAAACGACTGATAATTCCCACATTGTTTGCCTCCGACTTCTTATAGAGTACTGAATAGAGCTGGTATTGTTGTAGCTGTAGTTTAATTTAATATTGATCTGGAAACCTTGCTAATATTAGGAAGTTATCAGTTATTTTGAGCCCGTAAGAGTTTTGTGATAATTTATCTATCAAAGATAAATCACACTCTAACTTTGGTGTAACCATTCATACAAACTTCTATCAAGCAAAACTTATTAGGTGTATTATTGTTTGTTTTGGTTGGAGAAAACGAAAAAAAAAAAAAAAAATTATTCATTTGATAGCCGCTTCGCTCCTAAAATTAATACTAGGCTAATCCCCAAATTATTTGTTTATTTAGTTAAATGTTGAATGAGTTGTGGCTACCATCGAGTAACTTGTTAATTGAACAACTTAATTAATTTGACTAAAGAATAAATTCATGTTAACACAATTAATTAACGAATTATTATTTATAGTTTGATTAGCTATAGTTAATTCACTGAAAGATGAAAATAGTATTACTGAAAAAGGATAATAATATGTGCGAAAGTACAAGTTATTCTCAAAACCATAATAAATATATAAGAACGAGTTACACATAATTTTGGCAATGAAAGAAGCTGAAGAATGGAGGTCAGCCACGCTTGATAAAAGTAGTACTATGCCATGGCTTGATCATATAAAATACACTACTATAGTACTATGCCATGGCTGCTGCAACTTAATCTGTAGCAAATTAGGCTGTGCTCAAATGACATAAGGCATTTCTTCTAACCTTTAATTAATTTGTAGCAACAGTAAATAAATAATAATAATAATAATAATAATAATAAGTAGGAATTAATAACAGGTGTTATTTCACTGTTTCGTGGGGAAAACCCAGTTTGTATATATTATTGTAAAGTATATTTGGCAGCTATCGGAGATGGCAACTTCGCACCAACAATACTCTTGGATGATCAGTAGTTTTGTTCTCCAGAGAAAGCATGAGAGGTGCGCTTTAACTTAAATAAACAAAGAGCAGCTTTGATTTATTAATTTATTAAATATTAAGTACCTAGGCTTTGTTCTGACTGGCCCAAACAGTTGGCCAAGTTGACGAGTAATGGATGAACATAAGTTACGAAGAATTTGCATATACTCTATGCCGCCTTAAATTCAACACTCCTAAAACAGATTGATATATTCTTCGATAACATTATACTTATAAAGAAATCTTCAAAGATTTTCATACAAAGTGAGGTAGCAAAAAATGAATGAAAGAGTGAAACAAAAAGTCAAACTCATTAAATTCATTCTTCTATTCATTTTTTGTCACATCAATTTGTATAGACGTCTTTGTAAAATTTATTTATAAATGTAGTATTACTTTATATTCTTTCAACCTGCATCCCTCTATCTCTATATATACTTCTTAGGGTTCATCCATTAATCATAACTCCAGTACTTACACATTTGTGCCCTTCATCACCCTCTTCTTAGATTCTCTCTCTCTCTTTTTTTTTTTTTAACCTAAGTTTATCCGGTCCTTATTTTATCTTCTCTCTATTGCTTTGTTCTACAAATCAAAATGGGGAAAAGAACATCATACTTAACAGTTCAACCTCCAAAATGCGGAAAACTTATTACAGTTCTTAGTATTGATGGAGGAGGAATTCGAGGAATTATTTCGGGAGTTATTCTAGAGCACCTTGAATCTCAACTTCAGGTAGTCAATATTCTAAAGAAAAACTTATTATGAACATTAATTGTTGTCACTTGTCACGGACTTCATGTATACAGTATATACATGGTTCTAACAGTACTGCGTATTTAAATTTTGTTCACAAATATATAGGAACTAGATGGTGAAGATGCAAGGCTTGCAGATTACTTTGACGTAATTTCAGGAACCAGTACAGGAGGTCTCATAACAGCCATGTTAACTGCTCCAAATGAAAATAATCGTCCCTTATACGCGGCCAAGGAATTAGTACCATTTTACTTCGAAAATGGTCCTCAAATTTTCCCTCAAACAAGGTAATGATATTTTTATAAAAACCTCGTTAACAGTGGCATCATGCTATATCAAACACAGTTAGAATTGTCTTATGTATTTTGACCGTGCTGGTTCACCTTCTCGCTTATGAAATACACAGGGGGATGCTAGCTTGGCTTGTAAATCTATGGAAAGCTCTAACGGGAAGCAAATATGATGGGAAGTATCTCCATAAGGTGATAAGGGAGAATTTAAAGGACAAAAGATTGCACCAAGCTTTGACAAACATAGTTATTCCAACCTTCGACGTCAAGAAACTTCAGCCCACTTTCTTTTCCTCCTATCAGGTTGCTAGCTTACAAGATGATACATATACATATCTTATACACATAAACACAGCCATGAATCATGATCATATATCCACACAAACACTCAGAGAAAGAGGTTTGAGTTATAGCCATGCACAAAGTGAAAAGTTTTACTGCTAGCCATGGCCGCGGTTGCGTCTATCAGTACAATACTTATTTTATGAAGTTTTATGAAAGTGGTTTGAGACTTGAGAGCAGAGGATAAATATTTAGATAAAGCTTTTATAAGTAGAGAATAACACATCAAGTCATTAGGTTTATTATTATAGACGATATATTGAATGAAGTTAATATGAACATTCGTTGCTTGTGTTTTTCGCCGGCATTGTTAATTAGAAGCAAACAGTTTATCCAGTCCTGATAATAAAAATTGGAATATAATTTTTATATTTAATTTTTCCACGCATGCAGCTAACACCCGATACAGGCTTAGATGCTAAATTATCGGACATATGCATAGGGACCTCAGCAGCGCCAACTTATTCTCCTGCCCATTGCTTTACCAACAAAGATCATGAATTCAATCTCATCGATGGTGGAATGGCAGCCAACAATCCTGTAAGATTCTTTTTTTTTTTTTTTTTTTTTGTAAAGAAATTAAAAATCACCTACTATAAAATCAGATTGTATAAATATGTCATATTATCAATTTAATAATTAACTTAATGATTGCAGACTTTGGTTGCAATTAGTGAGGTGATGAAACAGATAACAAAGAAGAATCCGGATTACTTCCCAGTAATCAAGCCCTTGGAATATGAGCGTTTTATTGTGATTTCAATCGGATCAGGGTCGAAAAGGAGACAAGGAAAATACAGTGCTAAAAGGGTTTCAAAGTGGGGGGTGTTTTGTTGGATATACGATGATGGATCTACTCCAATAATAGATTGTTACAGTGCAGGAAGTGAGGATATGGTTGATTACCACATCTCNCTTAGATGCTAAATTATCGGACATAAGCATAGGGACCTCAGCAGCGCCAACTTATTTTCCTGCCCATTACTTTACCAACAAAGATGAAAATGGAGTTATGCGAGAATTCAATCTCATCGATGGTGGAATGGCAGCCAACAATCCTGTAAGATTCTTTTTTTTTTTCCTTTGTAAAGAAATTAAAAATCACCTATAAAATCAGATTGTATAAATATGTCATATTATCAATTTAATAATTAACTTAATGATTGCAGACTTTGGTTGCAATGAGTGAGGTGATGAAACAGATAACAAAGAAGAATCCAGATTACTTCCCAGTAATCAAGCCCTTGGAATATGAGCGTTTTATTGTGATTTCAATCGGATCAGGGTCGAAAAGGAGACAAGGAAAATACAGTGCTAAAAGGGTTTCAAAGTGGGGGGTTTTTTGTTGGATATACGATGATGGATCTACTCCAATAATAGATTGTTACAGTGCAGGAAGTGAGGATATGGTTGATTACCACATCTCTGTTGTTTTCCAAGCCCTTCATCAACAGAAGAATTACCTTAGGATCAATGTAAGCCCTTCGACACTCTAATAACTATAAGTTACTGTTTCTTAGAGTTCAATTTTTTGCTGCTTTTTTTTACTAGTGTTGAAGAAGAAAGAATTAATTAAAATCGGTTTTCGCGCAAATAAATTTTACTTAACTAGCAAACTTTGGAAGCCCTAGAAGATTATTAACTTATAAAACCATAAGAAAATAAAATAAAATAAAATTCTATCTACTTATGTCATTTTATTGAGACAGATACATCTATTTATTTTAATTAAAAAAAAAAAAACAATTCTTTGCTTTTCTCCTAAACAAACTTTTTAAAACTTCTATTGGAAGAAACATTTCTCAACGCATAGATATATATACCCTTGCAACAATAGTTCGAACATATAAGTAACCACACAAGAAGAATTAATTTAAAAAGGAATTGTTATATACGTTAGAAACATATATAAGGAGTTTTAATAGCATGATGTTAAAAATATAACATACCAACCACGAATCATTATGTATGTAATTCATAATATTTCTCCATCTGAACAAAAAATGTTAAGAATTATATACTAAACAATAGAGAATTTCTGATGTGTTGTATAATACTAAAAATCAAATTGATGATGAAATATCACTTTTAAAATGTAAAAAATAAAAGAGTAAAATGTAACGTATAAGTTATATCAGTTTATAAACCCAATAGTATTATTTAAGAAATATAATAATATGAAGAAACAGTTAATAATCTAATGATAAGAAAAGTACGCAAGTTTTGATGATGCACACGTACAGTGTGCTTTCTGGAACACCAAAGGACAACACAACCTTAGACTTTTCTGGAACACCAAAGGACAAAACAGCAGAATTTTCAATCAGGAATATTTTGTTCAATGCTGAAGAAAGATATATATATAATCATTTGCACGAGCGTGATAACTGACACAATTTATATATTCATATCTAAATAATAAAGTATTATAGAAGGGAATTATATATGACAGTACTAATCCATGAATAATCTATATTATGTTATTAATTTCAAACCAGGATGACACGCTACAAGGAGATTTGTCTTCTATTGATGTAACAACGAGACAGAATTTGGACAACCTTGTTAAAGTTGGGGAGAATTTGTTGACCAAACCAGTCTCGTGTGTAAATTTGGAAACTGGTATCAATGAACCAGTTCAAGGTGCAGGCACCAATATGGAAGCACTCCAAAGGTAACTTTTATATATATACATATAAATGCTACGAATTATTAACAATAAATTATAAACTTAAACAAGCATCTGAATTTTATCAAAATTATAATCTGGAGAGAATCCTAATTTTCCGTTAAAAAGAAGGTCACCATCTTTAATGTAAAAGCTCTGATTGTCTGTTTAATGTTTGCAGGTTTGCAAAAATGCTCTCTGATGAAAAGAAGTTCCGTGAATCAAACTCCCCGCATAACAGAGCCAATGAATAAAATTAAGAGTGGATATGGAAATTAATTGGTCATTGTCGTTTACTACTTATTAATTATTTGTATGTTTTGATTTGGAGTTATTGTGAAATAAAGCTATATTGTTGTGTGTTAATCCTCCGTTACAGTGGATCTTTGATAGAAATTGGGTTGGACAATGATCATTTTGTAGGTTTGAGTAGAATTTTCTATGAAAAACTTCTTTGAAAAACCAGCTTGCCAAGAGAAGCCACATGCCTACCCCTCTCATTTTTCCTCTCAATATGGGATCCTAACACACTACCATAAACATGTTTCAATTTCATTTTTCTTATGCCATAACATAACCATTCTTTAGAGGAAAAGAAAGGGGAAAAAAAAAAAGTTTCATTGATTGGCATGGATCTACCTAGTGAGGCCAAATCATAATCGTTCGTGATCTAGCCCCTAGCCACGCAAAAATCAAATTTGTGGTTGTGTACCCATCGCCTTCCACTTTAATTATGATCTCTCTAATTATCTGATTGGATTAATCTGAGTTAGAATTCGAAATAGGGAACGTTAGGGTTTGAGTTTGTTTAGGATTTGATTTGGGAAAACTAAGGTTAGTTTAGGATTTGATTTGGAAAAATTAGGGTTAGGGTTTGTTTTAGGATTGAATTGGTAACTAGGGCTAGGTTTGATTACTATTTGAGAAAATTAGGGCTACGGCTTTTGTAAGATATGATTTGGGAAAATTTAAATCTAAATGATTTCTACAAATATAAATTAGCTTTAATTTAATGATTTTATTTTTATATTATTAATAATCGTTGGAACTTGGAAGCCCATAATTAAAATTAATCAGTAATTTTCTAAATTTATATTTAACACAAATAAAAGAGGTTATTTTCATAATTATACTAAAATGTAACGGTTTTTTAAACCTATAGATAAATTATCATTAAACTTTTAAAACGTTTAGGATACAATTGTCTATCCCCTAAATAAGAGATAGGCCTATATAATTTTTCATTTCATTTATTGTAAATCATACTTTAAATCCAATCCACGCAATGTTTAATTATGTTGTTGTCGTTCAAAAACAATTTAATTAGTATAAAGTAATTTTATTTTTATTAAATAGCAAATAATAAAAATAAATAAAAGAAGTATAAAATGAAAACAATAGAAATATAGTAAATACGCATAAACCAGTGTTTTAAAAATTGGACTAGACCGTTCGGTCAGACAGGTTTGACCAGGAGCTGGCGACATCTCCAGTCCGATGTCCTCTGAAAACCAATATTTTTAATCAAACCGGATTGAGTCGTGGTTGGACCGTCAGAATAATGCCGAATCGCTGTCCAATCGCAACTCAATCCTGCCGGATTCTGGCATCGCTCAAGGGAGAAAACACCACCATTAGACTTGATGGCATCTCCACAACAAAACCCATCCATTTTCAGTGCCTTTGTCCAGCCTTTGGTCGCTCGTCGTCCACCTATAGTTCACACGACCGTCAGACTTCCTTCTTGATTCCGACAAATATCGACGCCGGTAGAACTCCCTAACACCACCAAAAGATTCGTCACAACCTATACATCAAAAACCCCATGATTCCAAACTTCGATTGGCCATCGATCGTCGCTACCGCCACCACTCACTAGTCTCTTCATGCGACATGGGTGTTTTGGATAGATTTGAAACCTTAAGGGCATATTATTAGGGGTGTTTTTTATGAATTTTAAACATTTAGGGACTAAAAAAAATTTACAGGACAAGGTCCAACCAACCGATCCAACCAGTCAAACTGTAAATCGAACCCTTGAACGGGTCATAGTTCGGTCCGGTTTTCAGAACATTGACATAAACTCAAGTACACGCACACTTTCGCTAAACACGATTGAAACAATCAATAATTTCGTTAGACGAATGCTGCTTTTTTCTTTTTCTTCTTTCTTTTGTTTTTCTTCTTAATCTTGTTTACAGAAACACTAAATATAATGCATTGTTTTAAAAGCCGGACCGTGAACCGGTCACGTGTCCAATTCGAGTAAATATAAAACCCGGTATTGTGCAATAACCCATTTTAACCCGGTAATGGACCGCGTGAACAATGCTAAACCGTCGATCCAACTGGACAGCAAGAAAAACCGGCCCAACACTGAAAAGGGAAAAAAAATCCCTAATTTCTCACTTTCTCCCATTTCGCATTTTCTTCTTTCTCTATGTGCAAAATACTCTGAAAAAAAATTGAATGAAATCACGAAAATCTGAAATCCCACACAAATCAAAACTCAATCTTGCTGAAATTGCAACCATTCCTTGCTGAAATCGCACTCATTCGTTGTTGAAATTGATCGCAACTCCAGTCTCTGAAATCGCGACGATGTCTTCCTCACTCGCCGAAAATCGACAACAACCGAGCGATGACAATTCCATTCCTCCTCTTGTCAACGATCCAGGTAAAAAACACATTAGCCACTCTTATTTGGTTATTTTCATGACAACCATTTCAGTGGCATTGTGCTCTTTGACAACATGTCGTGTCTGCCCATTCTCATTGTTTAATCAACTCACTTCAATTTAGTCACAAAAATGTTTTTGTAAAACTGATTCTGAAAGCATTTCAACCAAACCAAATGGGTCCTCTAAATATTCTCGATGGCCATCAACAAGGATGAAACAAAAAATTTGATTTAAAGTCGGCAGAGGGGTTACAGTATATATTAGGTCCTAGAAGTTGCGCTTAGAAGGGTTAAAGTGTAAAAAAAAAAAAAAAAAAAACAAAAAAAAAAAAAAAAAAATAGGAAAGAAAGAACCAGAATCTATGACCCTGTTATTATGATTGTGCCCATTTTTTTTGATTGATTTTATGGTTGGGTTGACGAGTTGTGAGTTGTGATGATCTCACATTTGTATATTGAAATCAGTCCCCTCCATAAAGCTTTGAGAATTTGTAATATTCAGTTTTGTGCTGGTTTTATTTAATATTTTTCTTAACATTAACTTCTCAATCATAGATCGATTGGGGATTGTTGGTTTCTGAGTGTTGTTGCCGTTTCTAACGGAGGTCTCACGATATCAGAAGTGATTATTACTCCTGAGTACAGCGAGGAAGGAATCTACACTGTTCGCTTCTGTATTCGTAATGAGCTCATAATATCTTTGATCATCTTGTCAACACCTAACTCTCCTCAATACATCTCGATATTCTTTTTCTTACATATCCATAAATTAAAAAGAAATGCTTATTTTTTATGTTATATTAGATAACTTGTTTTGGTTTGAATTCTGGAAGCCTGGAACTGTGGTTTTCCTCTTAACATGGTTTCTAGATAATGTATTATTACTGCAATAATTGCTTGCTTTTGTTTCTAATTATAATATCTCTATAGGGTGAGTGGGTCCCTGTTGTTGTTGACGATTGGATTCCTTGTAATCACTGGTTAAACCAGCATTTGCCACCAGCAAGAAGGGTAATGAACTTTGGGTCTCTATATTGGAAGGCATATGCCAAATTGCACGGTTCTTATGAGGACCTGGAAGGAGGGCTGTCAGGATGCCCTTGTGGACCTTACTGGGGGTGCTGGTGAGGAGATTGACATGAGGAGTGCCCAGGCCCAGATTGATGTTGCAAGTGGTAGATTATGGTCTCAATTGTTGCGCTTTAAACAAGAAGGATTCCTACTTGGTGCTGGGAGTCCACAGGTTCTGATGTGCACATTTCTTCCAGCGGCATTGTGCAAGGGCATGCTTACTCAATATTGCAGGTAGTTGAAATTCCATTCAGTCCAACTGTATAGTATATATACCAGTTCAAGAATTGGCTGACTCTAATAATTTCTCTTATCATTCAGGTGACAGAGGTTGACGGCCACAAGCTTGTTCAAATCCGAAACCCATGGGCTAATCAAGTTGAGTGGAATGGTTCCTGGTCTCATTCATCTCCCGTTTGGATTTGGACTTGGATTGTTGTTAAATACTTAAATTATATTGGTTGTTGTTAAATTTGAACATTAATCATGTTGACAGTATTAAGTTGTTATTGTCTTATTAAAAAAGAAATTAAAAAAAATACAAGTTTTTTAAATGTGCTGACGACCGGCGTCCAACCGATTGAACCATGACCCGGAAAGCTGACGGGGTTGCTCTCCGGTCTGGCTTTTAAAATAATGATATAATATACAACAGAAGCAACTGACAAGTCACTGGTGGCGACTGCAACAGGAATTCCCCCAGGGACGTGACAGTATAATTACAAGGAGGGTCTATTGCACAACACTGATGAAATGAGTTTTAACATAAATAAACAAATGGTAATTAGTTTCACTGAAGTTATTACAATTTTATCTATGCAAATATTTGCTGGATGACAGTCTCAGCATTCCCATTATATTAGCAAGTAGTAGTAGAAGGCATCAGCCCTCGCAGAGCCAGAAATTCCTGCACCCATCAATAATACAATATTATGTCACACTTTCTTGCAAAAAGATGCAAGTTTGGACCGTTCTGAGACTTGAGTTGAGAAGCTCATCTCACAAAAAGAATCCATCAAAGCAAAGACAGTAATATGAAAATTAGTGACAGTTAAAATAATACTTTGAAGTGAAGAGAAGGTACAAAAAAAAAAGCTCAGATAAAGAAAAAAAGTTATTGATGCATTTTAATATCAGGAACATCATGCGATGATTAGATTGTAGAAAAGTATTTGTTAGTTAGACTTTGATAAATAAATGTGTATGCTCCAATTACCATTACTTTGAGTATCATTTTCATCACAGACACATCCACATCAGAAGACACTTGAGATGGGCTGCTACCATCTTCTGACAGCCTGCATTTGAGATATCGTGGCTTGGGAAGATCTTGAGTACAACTATCTGCATTTGACTTTGACATGACACAGCAGCACCACAAGTAAAGGAGTATTACCTTCTCACGAATCAATCCTCAGAAGACCTTCGAAGCGATCTTTACACATTTGAAGTTTAAACCACCCGTGTGTGTGAAGGTAGCTCTTATGATCTTCATAAGCTGTGGCTCTTCAATACAAGTGCATCCTCATATCTCAATGTCATTGGAAAAACTGGATCATATGCTGTAAATGAGCTCTTAAGACAGATGACATTAATCCAGCAATTTCAAACCTCC